CTTCAAATAAGAAAAAATAATGAATTTCTTCATATTTGAACAATTATTAAACAGAAAAGACAACAAACTGCTTACTTGAAATCAGATCAAGAAACTCAAAAGCTGAGTGAAAGAAGAAAAAACAAGATAATTTCAAAAGTTAAAGAAATAATACTTGAAAACAAAATCGATAGAAAGATAAAAACAGAATACTATAGAAATCTGAAAAATCATAAATTAATTGAAATAAAGCTGAGTATAATAAGTAGTAATAAAACAAGTTAATAAAATACAAATAATAGATATTCACAACTCTTCCCAATGATCCTTTGGCCAACAACACTGAACTACAGCAAAATGCTATAGAAAAGCAACGAAATAAATACTAAACTCAGTCCCTATATAGAAGCAGCTTGTTGTTGATGAAGTCTAAGCATCTAGACAGAAACATCAAGAAGTGGGTGTCAAAAGAATACAGACAGTTTTCTTTAAGGTCAAGTTTTTTCTGCTAGACAGACTCTCCAAAATATTCGGCATCCAAACCAGAAGGTTTATTCTGAGAACAAGTCTGTAAGAAGTAGCCAATATGTACTCACCAAGCTAGTAAAACCAGAGAAGCTAAACTATACAACTATAAAACTTACAAGAAGAACTACACATATTTTTATTAGCCCACCACTTTTTTTCAAGGAAATTTTTATAAAAAGTGGATGTTTTAGTTTACCCTTTTCAAATGATTGATATCACATGTACCAAACAATTCAGCATTGTTTATCTTCCAAATTGGAACGTAATAACAAATATGTATATATATATGCCTTGAATGCAATGGATATTTATACAAATGATGCTCCGAGACTCTATTCCAATCTCTCTACCTTAAGCCAGTCGATGAAGTTTTTCCTATTAGGTTTTTACTTTCACAACTAGTTTAGAGAAAAATAGAAGTAGAGACTAATTTGTCTAGTCAGTATATAATTTTTTTAAGCCACCCACAGGCTTATAACTGTAGCATTAAGATAAGCAAATTTTCTGTTTTGTTTTTGTTTTTTTTTCGATATTTCTTTATTCCCTTTTTTTCATATTTTGTATTCTTTTACTGTAGTACCCTATATCTCTGTGGTTTTTTTAGTTTGTTTGTTTTATTTTCTGATTTTGTTTCTCGATGAGTAGGTAGCTGCCAGCTGATAAACAACAGGAAAAAAGTCCTTAGTAAGTTAAGGGCCCTGAGAAATGCTAAGAGCTACTGAGGCAGGTCATGTTTGATATATAAAATCACATGAGTGAGCTCTTTGTTTGGTTAGATCTACTTTAATTAGAGATAAATTCTTGTAATTTTGAATAACTTGATCCTAAATAAACAAGGGCAAGATAGCCGAATTAGAAAAACAAATAAGTAGTAATAAAAGAAGATAAGAATAAATCATATACAAAAGAGAAAATAAAAATATCAAAGTTAGAAAAATAGTAAAAAGGAAGAAGATAGAAGATATAAGATAAAGCATTGAGTCAGAAATGATATAATGAGATTGAATAAGACAATCTTATAATTATACAAAGGATGTAAAGAAAGAAACAATACAGAAGAGCCTAGTGTATGTCAAAACAACAAACAGTTCAAAGAAATAAGAAGAGCTATAGACAGAAGTTGAATCAAAAAATGCAATAAAGATGACCAAACCAGATATAGTATAATAGTACTATAGAAGAAAATAGCAAAAACAAGAAACTCTAAATAGTAATAGAGACAAAAAGAAGAGCAGAAAGACAAATATCAGAAATTAGAATAGGCTTTGTCATTAAAGAAATAATATAAAGCTGTATAGACAAAGCAGAAGCAGTAAGCTAACTAAAAGCAATCATAGAAGATATTATAAAATACAAGACATTTGAAGTATATACTAATAGCTCACTACTAGAATTGCAAGAAAAGGCAAACAAAACTAAAATAGAAATAGAATAGATCTTACAGACATATAAAGAAAAGTTGATAAAGAAAGTAGCAGAATTTAAATGTATTATAATGAGCTGGCTTTCTTCAATGAGAGCAGAGCTAGGTGTAATTTGACTTTACTTTTAGCTTTATCAGAAGAGACTAATATAAAGATATATACAGACAGCCAGGTAGTAATTTAAGCAGTTTAGAAGATAGCAGAGATAAAAAAAATATACAGCTATTTCAAAATAAAGAATAGAAGTATTCTGAAACAAATAGAATGCATAAGAAAGAAAAAGTAACTAAAAATTGAACTGCACAAAGTAAAAAAACATAGTGGAGTAGAAGGAAATAAAAAGTGAATAAGCTAGCAAAAGAAGAAGCAAAATTAAACAAAATCATTGAAGTACAGATGCTGTAAACCAAGTTGATATATGCAGTATCTCAGTAGAAAGGGCTAATAGTAAACATATCTATCAAAAAGTTTATTAATTTGATTATAGTGGCTATATTAGATGTAAAATAAGCAAGACTAAATAAAATGAAAAAATAGATAAGAGAGAAAATGAAGAATAGCTTAAATTGGAGAAAAATATAAAAATATATAAAAGAGGTCAAAGATAACAAATATATAGATAGCAAAATGAATAATAGATAAATATTTAGGGTTAAATGTTTAAATGAAGTAATGCCAATAATAACCAAGCTAAAAACAAGAAGACTAGATTTGTATAAGACCAATAAGTGCATTATATGCTAAGAAAAACCAAAAACAATAGACTACTTAACAAGCTGCAAAGAATATCAAGATATATAGAATATAATAGAAGAAGAAATATAGAGAAAATCATAAGAAAAGAAGAGCTTTATTAAAAAAATACTGACTAAAGCTAAAATAAATAAAACATATTCAGTATAACAAATATAGAGTAGATAGAAATAAGAATCTATATAATTAGAGGTTTAATTAAAAGAAAACAAAAACAAAAAATAGAAAATATACTTCAAAATGAAAAACAGCCAACAAAATAATAAATGTAGCACTTAATAAGCTCAGCAAGAATTTCTATTTGCATATCTGAAATTTTAAATATGAGATATAAATAAAATGAAAAAAAGAGAAAGAAAAACAAAAAGATAAAAAAGTATACTAAGAAAAAGAAGAAAAGAAGTAAAGAAGACCAAAAAAATAAAGAAAACCAAAAGCAAGCAGAAGAGCAAAAAGACAAGAAAGAGTATATGAAAATTGTAATATTATAGAGAATCTAGTATGAGCTAATAAAAAACCCAATTGGTCTTTATAGGTTAATTGCAAAGTAAAAACAAATATAAATAGCAGTACTGACAAGGCAAGTAGTCGGCAGCTTGTGATTGAAGAGAAATAAATTCTTAATAAGTTAAGAATCTGAAGAGAAGCTAAGGATCACTGAGACAGATCACATCTGAGCAAAAGCCAAAGTAAGTCTCTTATTTGGTTAAATTAGCAATAGTTAGAGATAGAAATATATAATTCATAAATAGTTTAATCTCAAATAAACAGAGGCAGGATTGCTAAACTAAAAAAAAGTAAATACTATTAAAAACAAATAATCTTAATTTAATTTAATTAGAGTTTCAATCCATAAACCGTTTATCTATTTATCTATCAGATATCCGATATCTGATAATAATTAGATAGGATAAATTAAATAGATGGATATCCGAATAATCTGATAAATTATCCAGATTGTATACTGTTTTTTCATTAGGATCGATGCAGGGGCAAACATTTTATTGATCAAATATTGATAAGTACTATTTATTTCCCACCCAGGTGTGAATAAGAGGTAAATCCCTTCAATCAGTCGGAGCCCGAAGGGCCTTGGCTGATTGGGAGTTACCAGGTTATTCCCCTGCAGCGGGAAATAAGGGTGTTGTTCTTTGTTTTATATGGCGTCATGACAGCATTTTTCAACTCAAATATTTTAGTCGGTACAACAAAAAAAAAACCAGTTATAAGCAAAACGAATTTTCACTTTAATACTGTAATAATACAATATATTAGATGAATTTAAGAAACTTCATCTTTAATTATAATAATACAATTGCAATACTAAAAGAATTGTTTTTAAATATATAAAAATTTAAAGTACACCCGGGAAAATAACAAGAAATAACAGGGAATAACAAGCAATTCTGGGGAAATAACAATCATTACTTTAGAATTATTTTTTTACCGATTAAAGTAGTGATTATAAGTCAAGATCCCCACCCAGCTAATTTTCTTCTTAGTTATTAGCTATCTTGTACTTGGTGATAATGGTAATTCAGGGAAGTATCTAATTTTTTTTTGAATAACTACTTTATTTACATACTGATTTTAATGGTTTGCTATTCTTCTTTACTTTTTTCCCAGTTTGACTAATACTACTGGTTTCACAATATTCCTGTCATGCGATCATATAGAAACGTGGAATAACTATTTAATATACAGGACTTAAATCATTGTTTCTATTAATTTTAACGTTTAATTTCTGCATATATTTAATATATGTACATTCATACCTGCCTATTGAAACCCGGATATTAATATGTATGCAAACTTAAATTATAATTCCTGTTAATATTCGTACGTATGTACGTACCTGTCTATTTAATCTTGTTAAATTATTTTTTGGGCAGAGGTTTAGATTGAGAATGGATCCTGAAGACTCTCTTTACAATTTTTTATTCTTCAATCAAAAAAGCCCGGATGATATAGTCTCTCACGCATCTAGCACAATGACTACTACCATAAGCTCAGTATATTGATGTGGTCGGAGAGCTAGAATTCCTGGATGCCTGCACCAACAATCACCACAGTGAGGACCTTTAGCAGGTTTCTTTTCGTATAGCCAAGTAAGTTTGCCACCAGGAGTTTTGATTACTCTAGTTCTATTAGATCTGATATTATAGCTCAAGCGGCACCTATAAGTGAGATGTTGTGCCATTGCGAATTATATTGCTGAAATTTCATATAGCATGAACCTAATTCAAAAAAAAAAAAAACTGTGGCAATAAAAAGATTTTAATCTTTTTTGGGCGGAGGTTTGAATTGGGATTAGACCTTGAGAACCCTCTTAACAATCTTTTGTTCTTCAATCAAGAAAGCCTGGACGATACGGTCTCTCACGCATTTAGCACAACGCCTACCACTGTAAGCTCGTCAAACTGTCTTCTGACGTTTAGAAATTCATGTGTATTGGCGTGTCGGAGAGCTGGAATTCCTGGAAGCCTGCACCCACAATCACCACAGTAAGGACCTTTAGCAGGTTTCTTTTCGTATAGCCAAGTAAGTTTGCCACCAGGAGTTTTGATTACTCTGGTTCTATTAGATCTGGTATTATAGCTCAAGCGGCGCCTATATGTCAGACGTTGTGCAATTGCGAATTATATTGCTGAAAATTTCATGTGAATAAAAATATTCATTTGTGAAAGGTCCTAATTTAAATACATAGAAGATATACGTATATGTTATTGTCCATGAAAGTGGGCAATAACTAAAAGTCATACCTGGATCTGATGATAGGATAATAATGGAATGGCCACTAGCTGCTTCGCAGCTAGTATGCTATTTCGTTATTATTCGATCATCAGATCTGGGTTCGATTTTTAGTTATGTATACTTCGTAGATAATAACTAATTTATTCTCAGGTTCTTTTTATACTTCCATACTATCTTTTCAAATTAGAGTTGCGCATTTCATAAAGTTTAGCTTTCTACAATTATAAAACTTCTTTCATTTTCTTCTACTTCTTTTTTCCTTTTTTTTAACCAACAATTTTTACTTTTCGTTAGTAACGTTAACGTTAATAGTTTAAAATTTCATATATCATTTAAAAAAATAAAAAAAAAACATAAAATCAAAAAGAAATATAAAAACTCCAGATCAGCAATAAATGTGAAAAGATAGTATGGAAGTATAAATAAGAACCGGGAAATAAATAGTAAAAACTAAGCCGAATATATTTTTATTATAAATTGAGCCACAACTATTACAAATTAAAGTTGGCAGATAAAGTTAAAATTTCGCAAGAAAATTATTTTGTTAGTGCGCAGAAGTCAATTTTATAGATAAAATGTGAACTATAAAAGTTTTTTTAGTTTGTTTCGATTTTTCATGTTTTTTTGCATAACACCTGATTTTGAAATCGATTTGGTCTGGGAAATTTTTTAGAGTAGTGATACTAAAATGGTGCTCCCTAATACTCCGGATGATTCGGTTAATCCGTTTCAGATATCCGACATAAATGGATGGATATCTGGTTATGTTAATGCAGGTAAATGGATAACGGATTTATCCGGATTGAAACTCTAAATTTAATAAATATTTACTTATTTAATAACAATATTGAAAAGCACTTATTTAATTCGATTTCTCTTAATTTTTTTTTCTAATTTGGCTATCCTGCTCTTGTTTATTTAGATCAAGTTATTCAAAATTACAAGTAATTTATCTTTAACTATAGTCGATTCAACCAAATGAAGAACTCATCCACATGATTTTATATACCAGGTGTAATCTGCCTCAGTAGCTCTTGGCCTCCCTTAGAGTCCTTAACTCACTAAGGACTTTTTTCTTGTTGTTCATCGGCTGGTGGCTACCTGCTCATCAAGAAGCAAAATCAGAAAATAAAACAAACAAACTAAAAAAACACAGAGGTATAGGGGAATACGATAAAAGATACAGAATACGAAAAAAAAAGAGGTAAAGGAATATTGAAAAAAAAAACAAAAATAAAACAGAAATTTGCTAATCTTAATGGCATGGTTATCAGCCTGTGAGTGGCTTTGAAAAATTTATACTGACTAGACAAATTAGTCTCTACTTCTATTTTTCTCTAAACTAGTATGCGAAAGTAAAAACCCGATAGGAAAAACTTCATCGACCGGCATAAGGTAGAGAGGTCAGAACAGAGTCTCAAAGCATCGTTTGTACAGATATCCATTGCATTCGAGGCATGTGTATATATATGTTTGTTGTCACATTCCGATTTGAGAGATAAACAATGCCAACTTGTTTGATATACGTGATGTCGATCATTTAGAAGGGGTAAGCTAAAACGCCCACTTTTTACAAAAATTTCCTTGAAAAAAAGTGGTGGGCCAATGAGAATATGTGAGGTTCTTCTTGTGAGAGTTACAGTTGTATAGTCCAGCTTCTCTATTTCTACCACTTAGGAGTGCACTTTTGGCTACTTCTACAGACTTGTTCCCAGAATAAACCTTCTGGTTTGGATGCTGAATACTTTGGGGAGTCCGCCAGAAAGAAAACTTGACCCCAAAGAAACCGTTCATTCTTTTTGGCGCCCGCTCCTTGGTATTTCACGCCTAGACAGCTTAGACTTCATCAACAACAAGCTGCTCCTACTTATAGGACCAGTTTTAGTATCCACTTCATCGCTTTTTTATATGTTTTGCTGTAGTTCGGTTTTTGTTGTTGTTGACCAGAGGATCATCAGAAAGAGTTTTAAAGTTTGATTTCTCTTAATTTTAAATTTCTTTATTTTATAAAAAATTTATAATTTTATTAGTTAATCAATATATGATATTTTTATATAATATAAATTTATTGTAAAATATAAAAAAAAATTGTTTATCAATATGTAATAATCAGGTAACTCAGATAAATATTTTCTAATTTAGAATAGCTTATCTCAGACACTTATAAAAAGACATTTGTCCAATTAGTTAATATAAATCAATTATATAAATAATTTATTTATACACTTTAAAATACTTTTTTAGAACACAACATTTTACTAACAAAAAATCACTGCAAAAACTATTTCTAACTTTGAAAAAATATCAAGATTCAGTGTGCAAAATAACTAAACAAATATCCTACTCTTAACAAACTTTGCTTAGAAAACAAAGTATACTAATGTTTATTAGACTATATAAAATTATATTGTAAAGTAAAAGTAACTGACAACATGGCTACAACAAACAAAAACATACTGAAAAACATTATATAATGCCAGAAATCTAGAAAATGCACAACATTTACGCAAACACATCAATAATGTAATAGACAAAAGATGTGATCAACTACTCTCACAACCAACCAAAATGA